TGGGGGCCAGAGCGGACCTTTTTACGCCGCGCTTTCCTTCCAATTTGTACAAAGAATGGCGCGGACCTGACTTCAAAGCGAATCTTATGCTGTATCGTATCATTTTGTTCTAGAAACTTTTCCGTCGTATTTCCCTTCGTTGTGCGCTTAAGTAACCTGCGCGCTTCCGTCGCGGCTTTTCACCGACTTCTCGCTTAACCCTCCCGAGCTTATTTCTTCGCTTCTTCCCTTTTTTCTTTCTCTCCCATTTCGTTGAAATAAATCCTCCTCAACATTTGAGTCCAATGGAAAAAAGTGAAATAGGCTTTTCGAGTACAAAGTTGATTAAAAATTGAAAAAAAAAATAGAAAGTGTTTCGTTATCTGTCGGCCTTTAACCCTTTCGCGATCAGTCCCCCACTTGTGTACTCAAACAAGAATTTCTCTCGATTTAAGATCCGTTAGAGACACGATGATTGGTAGATAAATAAGAAATTTAGAAAAAAATATAACGCGGTCAGGAGAAAGGGTTAGCAAGTAGTACAGATGAGAGAGTGATCAGACAAGTAGTGTACGCTGTTCATCGGACAGTGAATTGTAATTATTGTAATATTATATTATTGGTTAGAATTACTTTTAAGAATAATTCGTGAATCGTGTAACAAACATAACGGTATCAATTTCTTTAACATTTCTCTGCATACACTTTATATCGTTTCGATAAATTTGTGTTTCTTAAATTTTACAGATTTTCAAGTTACCCGAAAGTTGTGAAAAGTCGCACGAAACTGACATTTTATTTTTACCATTAGTCGGTAATTTTGATAAATTTACCTCTTTAAAATCGAACAGATTTTGAAAAATGCACGAAACTGATAGAAACGATTTTTCACAAACGGTTCGTTTCAGATAAATAAATCTGAGGAGAAGCAGCGGGATTTGATAGTCGTAGAAAATTTAACAGCGATGATTTCAATATTAATAGTTGGCATAATTTTAAACGGGCAAAGGTAGTTTTCACGAAAATGAAATCAAAGTTTAAAGGTAACGGCGAACAAGAGATAAGTGAACTATCCCTCTCTTTCTCTTTCCCGCTTTCATCTTTTCCTTCTCGGGCAATAAATCCTGGGGAAAAAACCTATCAGAATCTCCCTGGTCGTTACGCCGTTTAACCTAAAAATTCATTAGATTATAAAGGCATTAATGCTCATCCACGCGATCGGATTTTTTTTTCCGGTTAGCCGGGTCCTATGGTCGAATTGATATTCCACCCGGCTACAACTTTCGTTATATTTCATTTAGATTCTCATCTGACTTTAGAGACCCGATTGTTAAGTTGATCGTTTTATGTGCTTCGACCGTTTCACACTGGATTTTAAATCAAGTAGTACACATAGCGATAATATAATAGCAGAGTAAAAGTTCAGATTCGACGAAGATTAGGTAAATGTTAGAACACTTGAACTTTGCTTGGTAAAGTTCAACACTGCTAATTGTTCATTGGAAAATTAGGTTAATTAGAGAAAATTATCGAAAACAATTTCACCTAACTTTTCTTCAATAAACCACCATTTCTTTAAACACCTGAACAATTTTCTTTTTTAATTATTCCGAAATAAAGGCATTCGAAAAATTAAAAAATTCAAGCTCCGATGATTTTCATTAATTTCGAACAACCAAACTAGGTTCACTCTTGCGAAAAATGTATGCAATCCCATGGAAATTATTTATTATTAAATATAGCATTTTTCGAAGGAACAAAATATGCCTAAAGCTTCCTTAAAAAAAAATAAAAATAAAGACAATATAAAAATGGTATTCGAAAAATTAAAAAATTCAAGCATTGATGATCTTCATTAATTTCGAACAAGCAAACT